GCGCTATGTGATTGGCTGTTGTCTAATCTCCCTTGGGATCTGTGGTCTTAAAAATAACTCGAGACGAATTACCTATGGAATAGGGTGTGTATGGGCGATGCCTTCTCTGTCCCCTTTATCCTCTCTTGAAAGTAATGCAATACAGGATGCGCGAAAACAAAAGCACTGGGGGAGGGAGCGCGTACCGTGCACCCACCCGGCAACGGCATAACGCTTGTTATACAAAATATTTTCTTGAAGTCCGCAATTTTTAAAATTACAAGGGGTAGGTAGGGATGTGCTTTATAAGACCACAAAGCTCCCTTTCTGACGTCAGTGTCACGCAAGTCAACTACACGCCGCCAGATTGTCGTCACGAGAGGAGCGTTGCGAGATGATTTTCACCAGGGCGGATAAAGGTTGGGCGGTGAGACGAGCTCGTCCGAGCAAGAAGGTGTGATGCAGTGGACTGGGACATGGATGAGATTTTCCTTCGTGTTTTACGTAGTTGTTTTTGTTTTGGAATAATATCGACATTGGTGAGTAGTAGAACGAAAATAATAATTCAGCGATATAGTCATGGAAGTAATAAGAGAAACCCTTTGAAAGAGATGTTTCTCTACTCCAACTAAACCTTCCGAAAAAAATAGCAGCATTTGCCTCTCGGAGACAACGTACCAGTACAAAGGAACGAGGAAGAAGTGCAAGAAAACAGATCAAGCCGCCATAATTCAGTGACAGCGGCAGTGTCTAATGGACAAACTGCATCGCAAGCCCTGACCGAACTCGAAAACAAGCAATATAATGCTGTTTTACTTCCAACCTGCCTTTCAGCCGGCCCTCGCATCCTCTAAACCATTTGTAAAATCCGTCTGCGAATTAGTGCAGGGGAGCAAGAAAACACCTGTTGTTCAAATTAACATCAAAGAATTCGTTTAAAACTGAGGTCAGTATAGACCACACGTAAGCATATGAAGTGCTGATTACCGACGGACAAGGTCCAAGGGGAAGCAGCAGTTTGCCGATGTCCGTGCAGTTGCTTAACCTCTCTATTTTAACGCGCAGTTATGGCCATTTACATGAGGTGATTTCAATTTGAGAGGCTCAGTTAATTTTTCAGAACTTGCTATTCCAATTTATGGTAGCAATTTTGAGTTAAAACGTTTCCAGGACCCTTGATGGAAGTTTTATCCTGTGTCAGTCAAGACTGTCCTAGGTAGAGAGATCAAAGCAGAATTCCTTATCTAGTAGATCGGATATAGAATATAGGATCGGGAACCAGAGAAAACACAAAAAAAGATGAGATAGCAGGTGGTCCAGGTTATCCGGACCTTGAGATAAGGTGTAGGGGGGAGGGGTTAGAGAGTCTGCCTGTCCCTGGAGCCCTTTTGTTGATCTGAAAATAAGGGGGTGGGTCTCCCAGGCCTCTCTCCTAGTTCCGCCACTGAAAAGCGTTTTATTTTTTTCACTGGCAAAGTTGATCAAAGTCAAAATCCAACTTAATAATTTCGTTCTGTAAAATGCTGAAAAACATACATACCGTATGAAAGTACTGCCAAAGATGTTTTATTTGAATGATAACACCACAGAATTCTTTTTACAGACTCAAACAGTAGAAACCAAAACTTGACCCTTATGACCTCTAATCTCTTTTGTATTTTACATTCTATTAGGGGGGTCTTCCTTTCTTTGATATCAGAGAGCAGTGTATGGAGGAATGGGAAAATAAACTGAAGGAGATGGAAATGGAAGGAATTTGGGAAACTGTTACAAAAGAAAAATTGCCAGTAGACGACGATGATAAGACAAACGCGTTTGTGTTTAAGCTCCTGTGAAAAATATTGATAACAGAGCTTTAAAATGTAAGTAAACATACTTGTAACTGGAGATTTATGTATTAGATACGCATTGTTATTTTCAAGGGCGTTAAATCAGGTTGTATATGGTTGTAGATGTGATGGTGAGGTTTGAGCCCTGTGAATACACGAGAAAGATGATTTTTCGGTCAGTGACACAGTCCTGTCTGTCACTTAATGAAAAATAATCTTTCTTGAGATGGTATTTGTTTACTTTGATATTTACAAGTTCATTTTTGTTTTCAAGGTTGAAAAAAGCCAACAGACTACAAAGAATCTATTTAGTAATATATAAGTTGTTTGTCGGCGTCATCATCGTCATCTTCATCATCAGCATCATCATCATCACAATCTGTGAGTTTGGCGTTTTATACGGCACTTTTTGCCTTATCAAGTGTTATATTTTTTACCTAGACACTGCTTGTGAAAATAAATCTGACTAGCGGAAAATTCCTATGAAGTACTAAAAATTATTACCCTGACCTTGAGAGTGTTAAGTTGGGCTGTGATACAGTTGTCTAGGCTTTTTAAATGCATAATAATTTTGACAATCTTTCCAGATGATATAGTCCTTGATAAAGCCTTAAACTGCTCCACTGGAAGCTTCCGCAATTCCATAGGGATCAGTTCCCATCATTAAAATTTTTCTAAAGAGATGTCTGATTTATCCAGTCTGATAAACCTCTGAGGTAAATCTTAGACGCACAGGAGTCCATCCTGTGATTTCTAGGTCTTCCCGCTGTCCATCTAAGCAAGTTCCAAAAATTCACAATAGGGACCTGTTATCAAGCCAATACCAAGCAGAAGAATATGGTATACAGGAGACTGATTAGGGGCCTTAAGCAACTGGAAGGTTGACGTCCCGGATGTCAAAAATGGCAACCGGAAGTGAATATTTTCTCTCTTTCGGTGCTCAGACTTGACAAATATGCTACTTTCGATATATTAAAATTCAGCTTCATAGCGAGTCTTAGAGGACACAAACTGTAAAAACATGTTTATTCATTTCCTTTGTTTGTATCCCCTTAGACTCGCTATCTTGCTAAATTTTAATATATCGAAAGTGGCCTATTCGTGCAGCGGGAGTGGAAACAAAGGTATTCAGATTCGCGACGTCTCATCAAGCGAAACATGGAACGTCCGGTTGCTATTCATGTCCGGGACGTCAGTGGCTCGCTATTTCCTGTATAATTTGTCACTTTATAGATGACAGTAAAACTGGATCGAGTGAAGACTTCTGGGACTGTTACTAAGGACAAAGAAAAAAATTGGCCAATAGCTGACATGCGCGTCACGAGTTACGATTCCAGAAACAATTGTAGGGCGAATTTCGGCTCCATTTGCCTTCTCTTTTTCTAAGTGGCGAATGATATAAGATTCTGACAAACTACATACCTAGCCCTTTCCTTAATTAGTTAAAAAATATGGATTCCTCGTCTCAATAAATCGCTTATAAAACTCCTCCTTACCCACGGCTTAGATAGGGACTTAATTTCCTTTCTAGAAAGTTTACAAATAGGAGCATACTTTTAATAATTTCAGCAATGCGATCATAAAAATTGTGAAAGACTGTATTGACATCAGTGGTTCCAGATTCACTACCTAGAACCTCTGACCAATTCACATTTCGAACTTCAGATGTAAGTGCTTCACTATCAAGCCTAGAGTAATCCCTTTTGAACAGCTTGTCGTTTTTAGGAAGAGTAGATAGCTTGTTAATGATCAATGTTACTGACAGGACCTTTAAGATTAATAACACGTTGCTGAGTTTTCACATGACATTTTTTGCTATTTTGCGCAAGAATCTCTATCCCGAGCATGTAATAGACATGTTACTCCACCATTACGCCACAAAAGCAGTAGAAGGGAACGACACTCGACCTTCGACCGGTGTAGGTCAGGTAGAGTTAGCTAAGCACTATTTCAAGATCATATACATCGGGTATTTTTCGGGTGTTGCACATCGGAGGGTGCGCAAACTCATCAACCGATTCTGTAAACCCATTGTCATCAAGTTTGTTTATTCTATTTTTAGAAGACAGGCTTCGTACGCGCATCGTCTACAAATTTTCCTGTGCAAGCTGTAACGCTTGTTACATTGGCGAAGCAAGCCGACACTTTTCCACGCGCGTGCACGAGCACCTGTCATCGGACAGATCGTCTCACGTTTACAAGCACTTGCAGTCTTCTGAGAGTGTTGTCCTACCTCCTGTAGCTTAGACTGCTTTAACATCTTAGTCTCTGCCTCACAAAGGTATCAGGTTAAGCTTAAGGAGTCTATGTACATTAAGTGGGAAAAGCCTGACCTAACACATCAATCTGACGCTTTCTCTATGGATGTGTGCACGCGCATGTATTGATTTTGTTAGCTTTAAATTTACAAAGCGTATTGTTTTCTAACACAATGTAACGTATACTGTACGTTGTAACAGGCACGTTTTATCAGCTGTAAAACTTTAATAACCGTCTCACTGACGATGACGGATGTACCGTCGAAAGATGTTTGTTAAAATCAAAAACGTTGCAGTATTTTTTTATAAATTTCAGGGAGAAATCTGATAACTTTTAATCTATATTAAGATCTTATGGGTAATGGGTTCATGATAACCGTCACGAATACAGAGACATTAAGTGACCACTAAGCCCACTGTGAGAATGTTGATGTAATTGCTGTAGTTACTATAGTTAGTATAGTAGCTGTAGTAGCTGTAGTTGCTGTAGTTGCTGTAGTTACTGTAGTTGCTGTAGTTGGTGTAGTTGGTGTAGTTGCTGTAGTTGGTGTAGTTGCTGTATTTGGTGTACTTGCTGTAGTTGCTGTAGTTGGTGTAGTTGGTGTAGTAGCTGTAGTTGGTGTAGTTGGTGTAGTTGGCGTAGGTGATGTAGTTGCTGTAGTTGCTTTATTTGCTGTAGTTCGTGTAGTTGCTGTAGTTGGTGTAGTAGCTGTAGTTGTTGTAGTTGCTGTAGTTGCTGTAGTTGGTGTAGTTGCTGTAGTTGGTGTAGTAGCTGTAGTTGGTGTAGTTGTCGTAGTTGCTGTAGTTGGTGTAGTTGGTGTAGTGGCTATAGTTGGTGTAGTAGCTGTAGTTGGTGTAGTAGCTATAGTTGGTGTAGTTGGTGTAGTTGGTGTAGTTGGTGTAGTAGCTGTAGTTGGTGTATTTGGTGTAGTTGGTGTCAGACATTCCCACTGGGTGTGGAACAAACAAAAACGAAAGGCTACACAGAAAGCTTCGGAAAATTGCAGGAAGAAGTAAGTTAGGTGTTAAACTTGCGTATGCTCTGTTTACCAGAGCTTTTCATCTCATAAATACTGAAACAGACGAAAAACAGGGATGTAAAAAAGAAGTAGTGGAAACTATCGATGTAGAAGAGAATTTTGGCTTTTATAAGAATGCCAATGGAAGCGTTTTACCAGCTGATATCCTGAGTTTAAACGAATCTAAATCCGATCAAGACAGTTTGATGCTGGAAGCCATTATCAATAGAGCAGACGTTTCGAGCAAAATCTATAATAACGTAAAAGGTAATGGACTAGATGAACTGGAAAGTCACGACTTCCGTCGGTCACTATTGGTTTTCCAGTCAATGAATAAAGAACATAACACCAATCATTCAAGTCAAAGCATCCTTGATCAGCGCGCAGAAAATATGGGTTTTAAAAGACAACCATCATCAAAAGATGGGGACTGCTTCTTTTTTTCGCTCGCCTTACAGATATCGAACTTGTTGACCACATGCGACGAAAAAGTTGAAGAACAATTCAACAAACTTGGAATCAAAAATCAACAAAGTATTACCGAAATAGCACGACGTTTGCGACAATTAATAGTTCAAGAATGGCTAAGTAACAGCGAGCAATACCAACCCTTTGTTCAACCGGGCCTTGACTATTATTCTGAAGCGAAACGATTCTTAATGCCAGGTCATTTTGCAGCGAGTATTGGCGATGCTATGCCACTTGCCGCAGCCAATGTCCTCCACCTTCCCCTTGTCCTTGTAACGTCAGTAACAGATTGGCCTTTAACAATCGTTACGCCACACGTTCAGGCCATTTCCAGTGTGCCGCTGTATCTCGCATTTACACAAGAGGAAAGTGGCCATTATGATTCATTGATTGAACTTTCAAGACCCCAATTTGTAGGAAAATACAGGACAATGCGGGAAATCCGAATAAAGTGCCGTTGTGGTGTCAACAACAAAAATGCAAATACTTTAAACTGTTGCGAGGCACCAAAACAAAGTATTGGGAGAAGAAGAAAGTACTCAAGCAGATGGAAATGTTTGAAAGCGGGAATAAAATGTGGTGACAAGTGCAAATGCAAAAGCTGTGGAAACGGAAGAAACTCACCTGAAGCAAGGCAAAGAAAGAACTACAGAAGCAAGTTTATTAAAACATCTTTCACTAAAAGAATAACAGAAAAACCATTTTTATTACAAAGGGAAGGCGCGGATTACACACGTAGCAGTTTTTCTGTGTTGGAACTTATGATTTTGGAATTTTACTTACTGTCGTTGGGAATCAAATCTTGTAAAAACAAACCAGAAAAAGTGGCAAAGCTCTACAACTCATGTATTGATTTTTATAACCGCTCTACAGCACACAAATTAACTCGGAGGTCGATTACTGAAATAAAAACGGAAATGAACAAACACAAAAGCAGCAAGAACAACAAAAAATAGTTTTATTTCAAATCGTTACTTAAATGTAACAATGAAGTAACAAACAAGGTTTAATCGTGTTAGTCGCAATGGTCATTTAATATATGTGATCCAGGGGCTCGTTATTTTTGCTGAAAAAATAGACGAATACTAATTGGCACTCTCGACTGACCAAAACTTTCACATAATGACAATGCTTTAAAGTATTTACGGTGAGGTCACTGTTTGAGGTTTAATGACCATAGATTTTAGGGAAATAGGGAAAACGGCGCTAAAATGAAGATAATCCGTAAATTTCAAGTGCCAGATGCAGTCAGACATTATGTAGATTAATTACATAAATATTAAGAGAAAGGAAATAAAGGTAAAGACATCATATAATTTCAATGAAATTATATCGAATACATCATTATATAAGATTAATTACCCGTTAGAGAGCATAAGTTTCAAGAATCACCATAACGTTTTCGAGATCCTCCCAATTACTAAGTACAGTCGACTTCCGATAACTCGAACCTTCAAGGGAAATGGAAAAAAGTTCAAGTTATCGGGAGTTCGAGTTATCGGGAGCTTGAAGAAAATAGCCAGAGGTAAGGTGAAAAACAGTTTCAGTACTGTACAGTGAACATTTTAATCACATTTTATTGCAGAAATGTTAAGTGAAAATTGAAACATACTGTCAGATTATAAATCACAACGTATAACTTAACAAAACATAGTCTAAATAGAGCCTGCGTTTTACTGTTTTGAGAAGTAAAGCTGTTTCACGTTGGATTTGTGAGAAACAACATCAGCCTCCACTAGTGAACTATATCTGCGACAGGTCAGTGGGACTTTCAAATCCAATGTTTTGAACGCCAGTACACTGTTTTTCCAGACTTTTTAAGGGCTCAAAACACGGTTCGAGTTATCGACGGTAAAGTTGTATAGAAAATGACTTGAGGGGAAACGAAAATTGGTTCGAGTTAGCGGGAGTTCGAGTTATCGAGGATTCGAGTTACCGAGGGTAAAATTACATTAAATGTATGGCGGAAACCCAGGGGAAATCGATTTTAGTTCGAGTTAGCGCGAGGTTCGAGTTAGCGAGGGTTCGAGTTACCGAGAGTCAACTGTAGTGCTCACAGATAAACAGGTGTCATTTTGGTGAGAAAACTAGTTGGCCGTCGTCAATCTACTACGTTCTTTAGCGAGAACGTCAAAAAAAAAACTAAAAAAGGGGGAAAACGCGATTTAATGTTCATTACAATCTCGTCATCGTATTCCTACAACAAGACACTAAAAAAAAAGTAACTACATCTAAACTACACCAAACTACATCGAACTACAGCGGAGATGCCAAATCTGGACACTCTTTCTTTTGCATTACTCCCCGAATATCAATGATCAACCCCCGATAAGCACAATACAACAACTACACCGAATTACACCAACCACATCAACTACACTAACTACAGCAACTACACCGACTGCAACAACTACACCAACTACACCAACTACGCCAACTACGACAACTACATCAACTACAGCAACTACAGCAACTAAACCAACTACACAAACTACAGCAACTACACCAACTACAGCAACTACACCAACTACACCAACTACACCAACTACACCAACTACAGCAACTACAGCAACTACAGCAACTACACCAACTACACCAACTACACCAACTACACCAACTACAGCAACTACAGCAACTACGCCAACTACAGCAACTACAGCAACTACAGCAACTACACCAACTACAGCAACTACAGCAACTACAGCAACTACATCAACTACAGCAACTACAGCAACTACACCAACTAAAGCAACTACAGCAACTACGCTAACTACACCAACTACAGCAACTACAGCAACTACACAAAATACACCAACTACAAAAACTACAGCAACTACATCAACTACAGCTACTACAGCAACTACACCAACTACAGCTACTACACCAACTACACCAACTACAGCAACTAAAGCAACTACGCCAACTACACCAACTACAGCAACTACACCAACTACAGCTACTACAGCAACTACAGCAACTACAGCAACTACAGCAACTACACCAACTACACCAACTACACCAACTACAGCAACTACGCCAACTACAGCAACTACAGCAACTACAGCAACTACACCAACTACACCAACTACAGCAACTACGCCAACTACACCAACTACAGCAACTACAGCAACTACATTAACTACAGCAACTACACCAACTACACCAACTACACCAACTACAGCAACTACGCCAACTACACCAACTACAGCAACTACGCCAACTACGCCAACTACAGCAACTACATCAACTACACCAACTACATCAACTACAGCTACTACACCAACTACACCAACTACATCAACTACAGCTACTACACCAACTACACCAACTACACCAACTACATCAACTACAGCTACTACACCAACTACACCAACTACAGCAACTACGCCAACTACAGCAACTACATCAACTACATCAACTACAGCTACTACACCAACTACACCAACTACAGCAACTACAGCAACTACAGCAACTACACCAACTACACCAACTACAGCAACTACAGCAACTACGCCAACTACAGCAACTACAGCAACTACAGTTACTACACCAACTACACCAACTACAGCAACTACAGCATTAAGCAACTACATCAACTACAGCTACTACACCAAGTACAGCAACTACACCAACTACATCAACTACACCAAATACAGCAACTACGGCAACTACACCAACTACAGCTACTACACCAACTACACCAACTACAGCAACTACACCAACTACAGTTACTACACCAACTACAGCTACTACAGCAACTACACCAACTACACCAACTACACCAACTACAGCAACTACACCAACTACAGCTACTACACCAACTACACCAACTACAGCTACTACACCAACTACAGCAACTACACCAACTACACCAACTACAGCAACTACAGCTACTATACCAACTACAGCAACTACAGCAACTACAGCAACTACAGCAACTACACCAACTACAGCAACTACAGCTACTACACCAACTACAGCAACTACAGCAACTACAGCAACTACACCAACTACTGCTACTACAGCTACTATACCAACTATAGTAACTACAGCAATTACATCAACATTCTCACAGTGGGCTTAGTGGTAACTTAATGTCTCTATATTCGTGACGGTTATCATGAACCCATTACCATCTGATGACAGGAGGCTCGTAATTAGCATTGAATACATTGCTAAAGACAATGATTATAGTTTTCACAGTAACGAATTGTACAAGTACAAAGTAAATGTATTATTGACCATACGCAATGGGAATGTGTTGAAAGAACAAAAATTTACATCCACTCTGATTCCATGTACGACATTAGGTAATTTAGATTTTATGGATTTAGTAAAGAAAAAGCAGTGAAAAATAAATTGTTCTTCACAGAGCCCCTAGTATGTTCTTACCATGTTCTTCAAACTCTGGCAAATTTCAGGCTGAACTTTCTTTAAAAAAAAAGCTCTTATGAAGAACAAACAAACAACATAAAACAAAAATAAAAAAGTGCACCGAACTTCCTCAAATTATTCAACAAGGTCCCAATAAATAATCAACTGATCAAAAATAAAAAAGGAAATATACTTTCTATTTGTTTGGCCTTTTTTCTTAGATAATAATGCAATTAACAGTCCGAGCTCTTATTTCCCAATCAACTCTCTTTAAGCTGCGGAACGTTCACTCAGTCAAAGCATGTTGATCACCGTAAATTTCTTTTCTAATAATGAGAGCCCTCTCAAAGTATTCTTTAGCTTCACTGTACTGGCCAAGGTTTCTGTAAACAATTCCCAGGTTGTTGTAACTTGCTGCTACGTCACCATGCTTTTCACCGTAAATCTCCTTTTTAATGATGAGAGCCTTCTCATAGTATTCTTTAGCTTCACTGTATTGGCCAAGGTCATCGTAAACAGCTCCCAGGTTGTTGTAACTTGCTGCTACGTCACCATGCTTTTCACCGTAAATCTCCTTTTTAATGATGAGAGCCTTCTCATAGTATTCTTTAGCTTTACTGTACTGGCCAAGGTCACTGTAAACAATTGCAAGGTTGTTGTAACTTGCTGCTACGTCACCATGCTTTTCACCGTAAATCTTTTTTTTAATGATGAGGGCCTTCTCATAGTATTCTTTAGCTTCACTGCACTGGCCAAGGTCACTGTAAAAAGCTCCCAGGTTGTTGTAACTTGCTGCTACGTCACCATGATTTTCACCGTAAATCTCTTTTCTAATGATGAGGGCCTTCTCATAGTATTCTTTAGCTTCACTGTACTGGCCAAGGGCACTGTAAACGGCTCCCAGGTTGTTGTAACTTGCTGCTACGTTACCATGATTTTCACCGTAAATGTCTTTTCTAATGATGAGAGCATTCTCACAGTATTCTTTAGCTTCACTGTACTGGCCAAGGTTTCTGTAAACAATTCCCAGATTGTTGTAACTTGTTGCTACGTTACCATGCTTTTCAACGTAAATCTCTTTTGTAATGGTAAAAGCCTTCTCATAGTATTCTTTAGCTTTACTGTACTGGCCAAGGTTTCTGTCAACTATTCCCAGGTTGTTGTAACTTGCTGCTACGTCACCATGCTTTTCACCGTAAATCTCTTTTGTAATGATGAGACCCTTCTCATAGTATTCTTTAGCTTCGATTCGTTGTACTGGCCAAGGTCTCTGTAAACATTTCCTTGTGTGCTGTATATGTTCGCTCTTAACAATTTGTCTTCCTTGAAATCATTAAGAAAATGTATAAAATTACAGATTGACGTACCAAAAAGACATGCATCCGACGGGTTACTAAGGCTACAGAAAACATCAGCGGCTAGAGAAAGCCACGAAACTAACTTTCTAGGGCCGGTTGATTGAATTTAGGAATACTTTTGATTTAGTGAAATCGGCGTTAACAATTACGTGTAATACTTTACAGTGACTCGTATAATTACACGTAAC